GCGTTCCTTTCGGAGAATTCCTAGGATACATAGTCACGGAAAGAGGAGTACAAGCAAATCCTAATCAGATTAACGCTTTCCTCACGATGCCTTCGCCAAAAAACATTAAAGAGGTCCAACGATTGACGGGCAGAATTGCTGCGTTGAATCGTTTTATCTCAAAATCTACCGATAAATGTCTCCCTTTTTATCAAATTTTAAAAGGAAACAAGAAATTTCGGTGGGATGATCAATGCGAAGCAGCTTTCGATCAACTCAAAACTTATTTAACAACACCACCAGTTCTCTCAAAACCTGAGTCAGATGAGAAACTTTATCTTTACATCTCGGTTTCTAATCATTCTGTAAGTGGGGTTTTAGTTCGAGAGGATCGAAGTGATCAAAAGCCGATTTTTTACATAAGTAAATCTCTTACCAGTCCGGAAACGAGATATACAATGATGGAAAAATTAGCTTTAGCAGTGGTCGTATCCGCTAGGAAACTCAGACCCTATTTCCAATCTCATCTGATAGAAGTTTTAACTTCTCATGCGCTTCGCTCGATTCTTCATGGACCAAGTCAGTCCGGTAGATTGGCGAAATGGGCTATCGGACTTTGTGAGTACGATATAGAATATAAAAGCCGAACTAGCGCAAAACCACAAGTTTTGGCTGATTTTCTAACCGAACTGCCGTTAGATGACGGAACCTTTGTTGAAACAGAGTCTACATGGAAATTACACGTAGATGGTTCTTCTATTAAACAAGGATCCGAAATCGGTATTAGGCTCGAAACTCTGACAAAAGAAATAATCGAATAGTCATTTCGGTTAATGTTCCCAGCCTCGAACAACGAGGCGGAATACGAAGCTCTCTTAGCAGGACTTTGCTTGCTCTTGCAATCGGAGCAGAAAAAATAATAGCTTATTGTGATTCTTAGCTAGTTGTGAACCAGTTCGTTGGAGATTACGAAGCTAAGGCACCTCGAATGGAAGGCTACCTTTTGGCCATTAAAAAGTTAGCTGGAAGATTCAAAGAATTCGAATTGGTTCGAATACCTCGAGGCGAGAACACTTCAGCAGATGCTTTAGCTGCCCTAGCTTCTACCCCAGATCCCGAACTAAAGCGAGTGATTCCAGTTGAATGTATTACTTCACGAAGTATTTCGGATGAAGAAACAGGAAACGATAATATTTTGGAGCTCGAGCATATCGAAACTCCAGAATTAAATATCGATAACAAGAACAGTTCGCTTGTTGTCACTAGATCTCGAGCAAAGTCTCAAGATAACGAGCTTAATCCACAAACAGAACTTCCTAAAAGAAAGCCGAGAAGAAAACTAAAAGATCAAGAGGTTCCCATTAAAGAACCATCTCGAGCTGAACAGTCACTTCCGGATACCACAAATAATGAAGAAGTTATGGTAAATGACCCTGATATTCCTTCCGAGCCGGAACCAAGGAAGTTTATTCTCAAGGATAATACTTCCGCTAATGATTGGGGGGCTGACTGGAGGGTACCCATCAAAAATTTCATTCTTAGTGGAGAACTACCATCGAGTAAATGGCAAGCTCGCAAATTAAGAATCATCAGCGCAAAGTATTGTATAATTAAAGAGTCATTGTACAAGCGAGGCGTCAGTGATCCTTATCTATTATGTATTTTCGGGCCCGAAGTTGAAATAGTGACAAGCGAGGTCCACGAAGGGCTTTGCGGTAGTCATTCTTCGGGACGAGCAATGGCTTTCAAAATCAAACGGCTAGGATATTTCTGGCCAACTATGATTTCTGATTGCATCGATTACGCCAAACGGTGTAAAAAGTGTCAGATGCACGCTCCTCTTATCCACCAGCCATCTGAATTTCTATCATCTAGATCCGCTCCATACCCTTTCATGAGATGGTCAATGGATATAGTTGGCCCGATGCATCGCTCAACGCGAGGCATCCAGTACTTATTAGTTCTAACGGACTATTTTTCCAAGTGGATCCAAGCTGAAGCTTACGTAAATATACAAGATTCTGTGGTAAAGATATTTTTGTGGAAATACATTATTTGTCGCCATGGAGTTTCTTACGAAATAGTAACGGATAATGGTCCACAGTTCATTTCGAATGAATTTGAAGATTTTTGTTCCTCTTGGGGGATAAAACTTAGCTATTCAACGCCGAGGTATCCTCAAGGAAATGGGCAAGCGGAAGCTTCCAATAAAACCATTCTCAGCAATCTTAAGAAACGTTTGAATACTCGAAAAGGCGGTTGGTATGACGAGCTGCAACCTGTGTTGTGGTCATATCGAACAACCCCAAGACGAGCAACGGGAGAAACTCCATTCTCATTAGTATATGGAATGGAAGCAGTAGTCCCGGCCGAGCTGAATGTTCCCGGTTTACGCCGGAGCGAGGCTCCACTTAACGAAGAACTGAATTCTAAATTATTAGATGACGTTCTCGATACAATCGATGAAACGCGAGACCAATCCCTTATTCGGCTTCAGAACTATCAATAGTTGACCGCTCGATACTATAACTCAAAGTTGAAAAACAGACCTTTAAATGTAGGAGACTTTGTTTTAAGGCGAGTATTCGATAACACAAAAGAAGAAGGAGCTGGAAAACTCGGTATTAACTGGGAAGGCCCTTATCCAATCACAGAAAAAATCCGAAATGGTGTATACCGTTTACAAGACCTTGACGGTAATCTCGTTCAAAGGCCTTGGAACATCATCAACTTGAAAAAGTTCTATTGCTAGAGCAAATATATTGAACTACGATTTGGCTTGATCCTATTTTGGGTACGTAGGCAGCTCGCTAAACACGAGTCCAGCTATAATCATAAAAATAAAAATATTATTCTAATCATGGAGTCTCTTTTTTATAAATTTGATATTCGAGCATAAATATAAAAATACGATTGCGAGCAATGTATGAAGAAATATTTTTTGCTAAAGTAAAAACCAGATCTAGAAGGGTCTTGGATTACGGAATAGCTCTGCTCCTTGGCCTGCGAGGTCAACGATGCTCAGGATACAACCTGGCATGTTTCCGTACTCCTGTAGGCCTATCTCGATCCAATCAGAGGGATGGGCTTCGAGGCGATGAAGCTCGCGAGCAATATCGAGGCGACGCGCGCTTCTCTAGTTCCATTCTCTTTTTACTAATCTCTTTTTTCTCATCTTCGAGCTCTTTATGCTGAGTAATAAGCTGAGAAAACAAAGCGCTTCGTTTAGCAAACAACGAAAGGAGTCTGGTAACTAGGTAGAACAATACCTTGTTAATAAACTCTTTAGCCTTGACACGATCTTGAGCCGATAATCTCTCGATTAACACATTTGGAACCTGAATGCTGGTTCCCCACCCTAATGGGCGTGACTCTTCTGGTTCGCCATTTGCTTCCGTTTTTACAAGCTCGATGTCTGACGTTTCCGGAAGATCATCGCTTATCTTTTTAAACGAGTCGGAGGGATTCTCTGAAGAATTACCTTCCTTGAACATTTTTGTAGAATTATTGTTGATTAAATTCAATAATGAGCTACACCCACATTATATTTGAAATTTACTCAATCACATTTAAGAGGATTAATTGACGATTTCTCAAAATCTGAAATTACCATCTTCGTGGAAAATGTAATCCAGTTAATCACTAATTATATTCCCTAGATATAACGCATTAAATAAGATTTGAGTAAATCGGCAAATTTAAGCGAAAAGGGAAATATAATTAATATTGCTGGGCCACCAGCCCAATAGTATGTTACAAAATAATAAAAAATTAAGAAGGAGGGGGGGTTCGCAGAAGGAACTTTGTCTGATGACGAACCGTTTTCGAGTTCGTCGGGTTCGAGGCTCCCTTGGTAGATATCCCAATGCTTCTTTAGGAACCTGATGTGTTCTCGAAGACAGCCGGGAATGCGGGCGATAGAATCAAATCCCTTCCTCTCCCAGTTGTGAACGTCCGACTCCAAACGTCGGATCTTCCTTTCCGTTCTAGCAATCCGATCCTCGAGGTTACGGCGTTTCATTCCGAGGCGTTGCCTTTTGGAGCAGAGGAAAACGTACCTTTCCGTGATCTGAAAAGAACAGATGCATTACGAATCTATCAAGTAAAACCTTCAAAACATTGGTACTGGGTTCAAACCTGCTCCATGAATTCATGTCACTCGATCTGTTCTTCCTTAGACATGGAAGAAAGAAAACAAGGAATAGCCACCCCTTGTGGAGTGAATCCATCCCCCGCTGGGAAAAGAGATTCGCTTGAAGGGAATCGTTGTGGATTAGGATCAGAAGGTTCGCCTTGGGGAGAAGCCATAAAAAACAACTGCAAAGAAATGGTTTACTGGGAAATTCCCAAAATCTTACTCTCCTTATATAGGAAAAATATGTAAGGTTACTCACTTGAGTATTTATTGAAAAAGGAAGTTAAACGTCAACCTATTGATATGACAGTTATGACCTTTCGATTTTCGTGTACATGCACAAACAAGACCTACTAAACATAGGTTATTCAAGTATCACTTAACACCTAGTAGGCGAAATGAATTTCGAACGTGAAATTCAAGGGCAGTTAATAAATGGTATCAAACCTTTTTTGTCCTCTTCGAGAAAAGCAAACAGTTCTCACTAAGATTTTTCTAATCGAACACATTTCGAAGTATCACGAAGTGTTCTTGTAAGCCGAGCTCTAACCTCGCAACCGAGAGACCGAAGAAAAATTCTAATGTTTTTTCTTTAAAAAAGGCAAGTGGATCTGATCAGCCTATCTCTCCTATAATTCTAAACCATGTCGGTTAGGAGGACTTTGCAAACCCTCCAGGTAAAATCGATGGTTTCCACCAAAATTAAATATTTCTTTCTAAAGAAATTTTAATTAAAAACCCCCTTGGGCAAATTATTCAAAACAGTAATAAAAGCCCCCTTGGGCAAAAAACTCAAAAAGTAACAAACGGCCCCATGGCCGACAAAGCAAGTTTTATGTCTTAAAATTAAAGGGACATTCCCCATAAAAGGTGAGTACAATCACCATCATTCATTCATAGGCGAACCGCCTCCATCTCCTACTTGGCTTAAGACAGGAGCACCTCCGACGGGAGCATCTTGAGCTGTGAGAACAACCTCAGGGATAAGCGAGCTAGCAGGATCCTGACCAGAGAACCCCTGAGTTCGTTCCAAAGAAATTTTGTCAACATTGGTTCCGAACTCATTGAAATGAGCACTAGGGGAACCAGTTAACATCATTTCATCCAAAGACAAACCGGTATTAGGTTCGGTCAATGGAGGGGAATCGGCGAACTCAGAGGCAAATTGCTGCAAATCTAGATATGGCTGAGGAGCGGTAGCTAGCTTAGCTTCAGTCTTAGCGAGCTCAGCGCCAACTGTCTCTTTTTCTTCGGCCAAATTAATTGATCCTTCCCCTATCTCCTTGATCAGATCGAGATTGCTCTTCAGCTCATCACGTTCGGAGTTAAGTTTGTTCCAAGCTTTATCTGTAGAAATAAATTCATGCACGGCAAGAAGGAACTTTTGCCCAACTCCTTTAACCTCTTTCCGAGCATCATGAGATATCTTGCGAACATCCTGATCTTTCAGTTCGGAAAGAGATTCATTTTTGCGTTCAAGCTCCTCAGTAGCTGTCTTGACCTTGCTAAGCTCTGAATTCAGGAGCTCAATCTCGCCCTTCGCGAAGTTATGATCAGCAAGGATAGTTTTCAGCTTTTGCTCTGTCTCGGTCAAAATATTCCTTGTCTCCTCGCCAGATTTTTCGAGTCTCTCGATTTCTTTCTGACGAGCTGAGTCAAGACCAGCCGTCTCGTTCGTTAGCTGGTTGGAAGATTGGAGTTTCTCAATCTCTCCTTCGGCAATAGCAGCTCTCTTGGAAACTTTGGTAAACTCCTCCTCGTAATGGTTGCTGATGCTGTTCACATCAAGGTTTGCCTGATAAAATGAGATGCGATAAGAAAAAGGAGATTCAAAATCAAAGGTTTACAGATTCAAATGAGATGTAACCTACATGATTAATGCGGATCAATGCGATTATGAGTAGTAAATGACCGCATTGATCATGTTTTCTCTATAAAAACAACCTCAAACGCATGTGTTTGGGGGACGAATCTTTTGACTCATTACTTCTAAGCAATACAATATACTTTCTCTCTTGATTACTGTCGCAAGGCATTTTATACTTCGTTCTTGTCAAATTTCTTTACTTCTTTTCTTGGTTATTTTCCCTTTCGAATTCTTATATTCATTATACTGATTTTACAAGAGTTTTTCTCCACTGAAATACTTAAAGACAATGGAGTGTGAATCCTACATCCACAATAGGGACTTCGTCCTCCCTTACAAAACTTGGGGAAGCCATAATAAGCTTAAGTAGGGTTCTTGTAGTCCAATATGACAAGATTGGTGTGTATGACTGAGTATAAGAAAGAGAAATGCAACCTAGATCCTGGTTGCTAAGGTAGAGTAAATGCAAAACAAAAAAACTCATAGGTAGTTCGTCCTCCTTTACAAAACTTGGGGAAGCCATAATAAGCTTTTTTAAGGTTCTTGGAGTCCAATATGACAAGATTGGTGTGTATGACTGAGTATAAGAAAGAGAAATGCAACCCGGATCCTAGCTGCTAAAGTAACGTAGATGCAAAACAAAAAAACTCATAGGGACTTCGTCCTCTTTAACAAAACTTGGGGAAGCCATAATAAGCTTGTGTATGGTTTTTGGAGTCCAATCTGAAAAGATTGGTGTGTATGACTGAGTATAAGAAAGAGAAATGCAACCCGGATCCTGGTTGCTAAAGTAGCATAGATGCAAAACAAAAAAACTCATAGGAACTTCGTCCTAACTTACAAAACTTGTGGAAGCCTTAATAAACTTGTGTAATGTTCTTGGAGTCCAATATGACAAGATTGGTGTGTATGACTGAGTATAAGAAAGAGAAATGCAACCCGGATCCTAGCTGCTAAGGAACAGTACATGCAACAAAAAAAACTCATAGGGACGTCGTCCTCACTTACAAAACTTGGGTAAGCCATAATGATAATAAGATTTTCAATTTCTAACAAGTATCAATCCCTAATACACATGCCATTGTAGTATATTAGGTTATCAATCCAATCTCAGTGTGACTATAAGCATTCAAGATATGAAACAGAAAGCAAATAAGTCAAGCCAATTATGAAAGGGTTTTGTGTGTTTCTATTGATCCTAAGCAACCAATTTAACATGCAAATACCGAATTTAAAAGAATAAAAAGAAAACTAAACAGCAAGTAACAAGAGCAAGAAGTAAACTAAAGACCAGAAACTATCATGCAAAAGCTTTGGAAAAGAAACTAACAATAACAATGCAGAGAAGCGCTCTAGGCCTAACAGGTCGAGATGGTCACAAAAGCTAACAGAAACGAGATTTAAACAATCAATAGAGATAAAAGGTCCTGAGGAATGGGGTAATCGATTATGGCAGTCTCCTTAGTCTACCTAGGTGGTTAACAAACTCAATCAAGCTATCCCTAGACAATAGATTCGAATACAAATCAATCCACTCTCGTGACAGAGATTCTCAAACTAAATCACTTTCATACTCAATTCTCATTGAAGAAATATAACCTAGCAGGCATTAAGATTCAATCTAATAGAGTCAATAAGCATTCTAAACATCCAATCTCTTGGGCTAGAGTATGCAAATCTCTGGAATAGTTGGTTCAGACATTTCATCAAACACCTTTTGGATGTGGAAATGTCTGAGATCAACTTCCAATTGATCAGAGAGGAAATAGCATTAAGATCTACTAAACCAGAAGGGAAATCAAGCAATTCTACACTTAACCACCTAAATATACTAAGGATTCCACACCTAATCTATCCCATCCTCAAGAACCCTAATCCACTACTCAAGAACACTGAAGAACATCATGCATAAAAAACTAGAAAATGTTTCAAACCCAGAAATCATTGAAAAACAAGTATGTTATAGATAAGAGACAGATCTACAACTTTGATGAAGAAAAGAAATGCAAAAACTCAAAGGATCAACAGGAAAAACGATTACAAAAACTAGGGTTTATGAGAGAACAAAGGAATATCTGCTGGGTAAAAGGAATATCCGCTGGACAATAGCATGTACCCCTATTTATAGGAAATACTAGGTTGCCCTAATTGGCTACAGGACAAAATAGAGAGTCGGTGGAGGCCAACTCGACGTGTCATCGAGCCTGCCACGTCGAGACCATGTGATTCTCAAAGGTGGCGCCTTGATGTCCATCTCGACGTGTCGTCGAGCCTGCGTGGTCGAGTCTGCTCCCAGGCGGCTTCCTGGCGTCCTACTCGACGTGACGTCGAGCCATGACGTCGAGTCTGCTCATTGGTGATCTTGAACGACTTCATTCCTCTCCAACTCGATCCCAAGTCTAGCTCCAAGGTCGTGTTGGTTCCTCCTTGCTTCATTAAGTCCCAAATAAGCTCCAAAGTACCTGAAACTCATCCAATATGCAACATGCTACGCCATGCAATGCAAATCGTACTAAGTGATGAAAATCTTATGAAAAAGGACTATTGATGCAATGAAACAGAGAGGAAACTAAGCTAAATGCATAAGAAATGTGTGCTAAAAAGAGGTAAAATACAGAGATATCAACTCCCCCAAACTTAGCTCTTGCCTGCCCTCAAGCAAACAGATAGAACCAAGCTGGAGAAGAGGTTTGAAGGTGGAGACTCAGAACCAAAACATGCATATAGAGTAAGTGAATTCAATGTCCAGGTTGCTAATTCTAGAATGCAAGGTTGACTGATCCCTACTTAAAAACATTAGCCATCTCCTTCACATCTCAACCTAACTTTTGCCTTAATCAATTCAAGCATTCAAATCAGCACATTCCCTTTAACATTGATTAAGTAGGAACCGTGAATCATACTATGCATTGGATAAGAACACATTTGGCTTAAGGGTAAAGGTTTAGAGACAAAGATGGTCCCTTAAAGATCTGGTTTAAATCGCAACAGGGGATCTCTCAAGAATGATTGAGCTTTAGTAGAATGCTAAAGGTGAGTATCAAGTTATGCATACAAGGATAAGACCCCATCTACCCAGAATGTAACCAATATAAACCCAAATGGAGGTCCTATTTCTAATCCCAGAATCATGAACTTAACTCTACCCTTTTGCACTCAAAGCATTTACAGACTTTTACTTACACCATTCCTTTCTTTTCTTTGCTTTTCTATCCTTGGAGAAGCTTTCTTACTTTGCTCTGTCTAGCGGATTAGGATTCTTTAACAACTAGGGTTCCCTTTTCTTTCTTCTTATAAACACAAGGCTTTTGCCCAATCTCTTTAAGCTGTTTACAGAACCCTTTTTACTTTACTTTAGCACACCCAAATCCTTTACTAGACTTCTCTTACTTTAGCTACTTCTCCTTAGGACTCTTTTCCCTTTCCTTTTCTTTCAATGATGAACACAACCTTTTCTTTCTTTTAAACACAACCCAAACCCAGAATTAAGCACCCACCTAATCCTATCTGGTCCAGATAACGTGAACCAGAACTACATGAGATACTATCCTTGTCGTTACAGACCTAACACTTTCTACCAAGCTCAATCGGAATAAGGCCTCACATTCACACACAAATGATAAATGGCTTGAAGGAAGGTTAGGGTTAAGGGTGGGGAATAACTGCTCCAAAGATGGGAGTCAGCTACTTGGACTAGCAAGAGTGATCAAAAGGTAAAAGAAAGTCCAAGTATTTTAAGGTATCCATGAGTTCATAGCACAATGCACAGCATGATAATTATAAGTCAAAATTCAAGTTCAAATAGATAGGGAAAGGCATTAGATCAAAGCGAGATTCGACTAAAAACAAGAAAGTCAAGCGTTGAATTCAAAAGATAGTGCAGTCTTACTTCAAGTTCAGTCGATTATGCATTAGAGAACTAACAACCAGGGCACTGAGTTCTACTTAGTGAATAGGCATATTTACAAGGTTATAATCATCATAATCTCCAATGCAAATGCATGATGCAACAGCCCTAAGTGAAAGCATACTAAAACAATCCTAAAATGACAATGCAAGCTATATGAACACTCTGCTTTTGTAAAATCATTTTCGAAAAATTTCAAATTTTTATGGTTTTTCTATGCCTTAGATGCAATGATGCAAAATTTGAAATAAGAAAACAAAACACGATGTCAAATACTCCCTGAGCCCTCCCCCAAACTTAAATTACACAGTCCTCTGTGTAACAAGCATTTGGAAGAGAGTACTCAGGGCAAACCAACAGAGAAACAAAATGAAATGCGGTATATACAATGGTGAATTGGAGTTGTTACCTCATGGATGGGTGAAGAAGGAGGTGATTGACCTGGTACTGGTGGGCTTCATGGGCTAACTCGACGTCTCATCGAGCAGGTACGTCGAGTAGGCTTCATTTTTCTGCTTGGAGTTGGTCCATTGGGCTAGCTCGACGTGACGTCGAGTAGGGCACGTCGAGTCTGCTCCTTCTCTATTCCTCTGACTCCAATTCGATTAATTCCTGAAAATCACAGACACTACAAAAACACATTAAAAATAACAAGAGATAAAGAGCTATTTACAAAGATAAACATGGGAATTCCTCCCAAGTGAGCTTGTTTAAAGTCACTAAGCTTGACTTTACTACTCTTTTAGGCGAGTTGAGGTTCCTGAAGATGAACCGTAGATCCTTCAGGAATGACGCTATCCGCGAGATACTTCTTAAGCCGCTGACCATTCACCTTAAATTCTGACCCGTCCTTAGTAAATAGCGATACCGCACCAAATGGTAGAACTTCTTTGATAGTGAAAGGACCAGACCACCTTGATTTGAGCTTTCCGGGGAATAGCTTGAGTCTGGAGTTGAACAGTAACACTTGGTCTCCAGCCTTAAAGTCCTTCGGTGAAATCTTCTTGTCATGGAAAGCTTTTGTTCTTTCTTTGTACACCTTTGAACTCTCATAAGCTTCAAGCCTTATTTCCTCAAGTTCGTGCAAGTCAACAGATCTCTTCTCCTGAGCTTCCTTGATATCCAAGTTCAGCAACTTAGTAGCCCAGATTGCCTTGTACTCTACCTCAACTGGAAGATGACATGACTTCCCATACAGCATCTGAAATGGCGTCCTTCCTATTGGCGTCTTGTATGCAGTCCGGTATGCCCAAAGTGTATCATCTAACTTGGTAGACCAGTCTCTCTTTGAAACACCAACAACCCTGGCGAGTATGGCCTTGATCTGACGGTTGGATACTTCTACTTGCCCGCTAGTCTGAGGGTGATAAGGAGTAGCTACCTTGTGCTTCACACCGTGCTTCTTTAACAGACTCTCAAAGACCTTGTTGATGAAATGAGAACCTCCATCACTGATCACAGCCTTAGGGATACCAAATCTGGGGAATATGATGCTCTTGAACAGCTTTAAGACCACCTTATGATCATTAGTTGGAGATGCAATGGCCTCAACCCATTTGGAGACGTAGTCCACAGCAACAAGGATGTACTTATTACCATAGGAAGCAGGATTGAATGGTCCCATGAAATCAATTCCCCAAACGTCAAAGACTTCAACTTCCAGGATCGGGGTCTGTGGCATTTCGTTCCTCCTAGTTATGTTCCCCATTCTCTGGCAGGGATCACATTTAGCAATGAATCCATGTGCATCTTTAAACATGGAAGGCCACCAAAGGCCGGCTTGGAGAACCTTCTGTACTGTCTTGAAGGTAGCAAAGTGACCGCCATAAGCAGAACCATGACAGTGTTCCAGCACTCCTTGAACTTCCTCTTCAGCAATACACCTTCTAAATAGGCCATCAGTACCTTTCTTATACAAATAAGGTTCATCCCAGTAGTAGTGGTTGATGTCTCTAAAGAACTTCTTCTTCTGGTAAGCATCAAGGTATTTGGGGATTTCCCCACAGATAAGATAATTCACAAGGTCAGCATACCATGGAAACTCTTCTTCCTTGACAGCACAAGCTTCTTCGAATTCCTTCTTGTTGTACACCAATTTATAGCACTTGAAAGCTAACAGCTGCTCTTCAGGCATTGAATCGTTTATAGGGATTTCATCTTCAATCCGCATTCTGGACAAGTGATCAGCTACTCCGTTTTCTATACCCTTCTTATCAACAATCTCCATATCAAACTCTTGAAGTAACAAAATCCATCTCAACAGTCTAGGCTTGGTGTCCTTCTTAGCATAGATGTGCCTCAAAGCTGCATGGTCTGTATAGACAGTAACCTTGGATCCAACCAAATAGCTTCTAAACTTCTCAAATGCAAAGACTACAGCCAGCAACTCTTTCTCTGTTGTAGCATATCTCACTTGAGCATCATCCAAGGTTCTGCTTGCATAATAGATAACATGGAGCTTCTTATCTATCTTCTGACCCAGCACAGCCCCAACCGCGTAGTCTGAAGCATCACACATGATTTCAAAAGGATGATCCCAGTTTGGTGCTTGGACGATTGGAGCAGACACTAGAGCTTCTTTAATCAAGTTGAAAGCTCTCATACACTCTTCATCAAAGATGAATTCGGTCTCCTTACAGAGAAGTCGAGTGAGTGGTCTAGCAAACTTTGAGAAATCCTTGATGAATCTCCTGTAAAAGCCAGCATGACCCAGAAAACTTCTGATATCCTTCACGTTTTTCGGAGGCTGCAACTGTACCATGACATCTATCTTGGCTTTATCAACCTCAATCCCTTTCTCTGATATCTTGTGTCCCAATACTATACCCTCTCTGACCATGAAGTGACACTTCTCCCAGTTCAGCACTAGATTGGTCTCCTCACACCTTGTTAGAACCCTGCATAGATTTAACAAACAAGAGGAGAAAGAGGAGCCATAGACAGAGAAATCGTCCATAAAGACTTCCACCGTCTCCTCAATTAAATCCGAGAATATTGAAGTTATACACCTCTGAAAAGTAGCAGGTGCATTACACAATCCGAAAGGCATTCTTCTATAAGCGAAGGTTCCATAAGGGCAAGTAAAAGTGGTTTTCTCTTGATCATTAGGGTGAATTGGTATTTGAAAGAAACCACTATATCCATCAAGAAAGCAGTAGTACTGGTGATTAGCTAACCTTTCAAGCATTTGATCAATAAATGGTAAAGGAAAATGATCTTTTCTAGATGCAGCATTTAGCTTTCGATAATCAATGCACATTCTATGTCCTGTTATAGTTCTTGTAGGGATTAATTCATCTTTATCATTCTTTATAACAGTCATACCTCCTTTCTTAGGCACACAATGAACCGGAGATACCCAAGTGCTATCTGAAATAGGGTAGATTACACCCGCTTCCAATAGTTTAAGTATCTCCTTTTTAACTACTTCTTTCAGATTAGGATTCAATCTCCTTTGAGGTTCAATGCTAGAATGAGATTCATTTTCGAGATGGATCCTATGCATGCACAAACTAGGTGAGATTCCCTTTATATCAGACAATGAATAACCAATTGCTCTTCTATACTTTTTAAGTTCAGACAACAGCAAATTCACTTCATCATCATTCAATGCAGCATTAATGATCACAGGGTAAGTAGAGTTTGTTCCTAGAAATGCGTACCTTAGCCCTTGCGGAAGTGGTTTGAGGTCTACCTTAGGTGCGTTGAGCTCAGACCAGTCATCTGAGGTAGGAGAAGGCCATCTCGACGTGTCGTCGAGCTTGCAGGTCGAGTCTGCTTCCTTGACTTCTTCAGGAATTGGACTGGGAAGGCCTACTCGACGTGTGGTCGAGTAGGTAGGTCGAGTCTGATCTGAAACGTCTTCTTCCACTGTACTGACTTCTGCAACTGGCACCTCTAACTTCTCAAAGCATTCTGATGATTCTTCTTCCTTATGGGAGTCTAGCAGCTTCTTGTACCCCAATGTCTCTAAGTGTAAGAACCCCTCTTCCCCGTCTTTGGTAAGAGCACTCTGTAGGTAGTCTTCTTTAGTAAGCTCTTCAAGTAGTTCGTCAGCTAAACGATCCATTTCTTCTATGTAGAACACTTGTCCATCAATGGTCGGTTTCTTCATCGTCTTAGTGATGTCGAATGTCATCTTGAAATCTTCACCGAGGTTTAAGTCGATCTTACCTCTTCTGACATCAATGAGAGCTCCAGTAGTAGCTAAGAAAGGTCTCCCTAGTATGAGAGGGTCCTTTGGCTCTTCATCCATTTCTAAAACAACGAAGTCTGTAGGGATCTCTACCTTTCCTATTCTGACAGGTAGATCCTCTAACATACCATGAGGGACTCTTACGGATCTGTCGGCTAAGATTAGTTGGATTTGGCAGGACTTGTACTTGATGAAACCGAGTCTTCTTGCTACTGAGAGTGGCATCAAACTGACTGATGCACCTAGATCACATAGGCATTTGTTGAAGAACAAAGGGCCTAGTGAACAGGGTAGAGTAAATGAGCCGGGATCCCCAAGCTTCTTTGGTATGATCTTCTTCTGTATGATAGCACTGCATTCATGGCTCAACACTACCATTCCTTGTACCTCCTGAATTCTCTCCATTATCATGTCCTTCAAGTACTTGTGAGAATCCGGAATCAGCATGAAAGCATCAATGAGAGGCATCCTCAATTCAATCTCCTTGATGTGTTTAGCAAACATGGCTCTGTACTTCTCAATGATATCCCTCTTGAATCTTCCTGGGAATGGTATTTTGGGCTTGTAGGGTGGTGGAATGAAAGCTTTCTTCTTACCCTTATCAACAGTTGGTTTTTTGATTTGGGGACTCTTAGCTCGATCCCTAGGTACAACATCTTGGTCAAGCTTAGTGGTGTCTTCTTCTTGAGTTTCGTTCTGAATAGAATCCTCCCCTTCTTGAATCTCACTGTCCTCAGTGACAGGAGCTTGGTTAGGTCGAGCACGCAGCTCTCGACCACTCCGAAGTTGAATAGCATGAGCATACTCCTTCGGATTCTGAATAGCTTTCCCGGGTAGTTGTCCGGGGTGTGTAGGTGCAGAAGTAGAAGCAGCTTGGCTTTCCATGTACTTCACCTTGGAGTTTAGAGCCTCAATCTTGTTTTGAATCTCAGCCATCTTCTTATCACCAGCTAGTTGGCCATGTAGAATCTGCTGAAGCATTTGCTGCATGTCTTGATCTTGGGCAGGTGGAGCTGGCTGGGGTTGCTGTGCAAAACCGGGTGGTGGATTATATTGTTGATAACCGCCACTAAACTGCTGCTTTGGGACAAAGCCTTGATTGTAGGGTATGAATTGCTTGGACTGGTTCTGTTGTTGCTGAGGGTAAACCTGATCTTGAGGGTTTGCAACATTCGTGCTCCGGTAAGATAGATTAGGATGAGCAGGCTTGTAGGGGTTGTAGCCCTTGTTGTAGCCACCTTGGTTCTGAACGTAGCTGACTTCTGCAGCCTGAGTGTTCTCCCCCTCTTGGATTTGATAGTGCTCTTCTTCAGTGATATAGTGGACTGGTTTCTGGTTAGTAAGCAGAAATTGATCCAGCTTGTCGTTGAGAGCCTTTACCATCTCTTTAGTATGCTTTGCATCCGGATCTCCAATACCTCTGTTGGAGCGATCAAAATCCTCGTTATAGTTACCATCAGATAGAGCTAAGTTCTCTATCAATTCCCAGCCTTCCTCAACATCCTTATTCAAGAAATTCCCATTCGAGGCAGTGTCTAGCAACATTCTGATCTTGGGCAAAACTCCCCTGTAGAGTGTGCTGAGTTGTGAAGCCTTCTTGAAACCATGGTGTGGACACTGTATAGTGTAGCCTTTGAATCTCTCACAGGCCTCACAAATGGATTCAGACTGCTTTTGGCTAAAACTGGAGATTTCATTGCGTAGACGTGCAGTTCTTGAATTGGAGAAGAACTTTGTTAAGAATACCCTCTTGCAATCATCCCAAGATGTGATGGAGCCAGCAGGTAGTGTCTTCTCCCAGTGGTGTGCTTTGTCTCCCAGCGAGAAGGGAAATAGACGCAGCTTGAAGCTGTCTTCACTAACACCATTGATCTTGGTGAGGCTGCAGAGCCTATCAAAATTATCCAAGTGATTCAAGGGGTCTTCCAGAGGCAACCCATGAAACTTGTTACCTTGAATCATTGAGATCAATCCACTCTTGATCTCGAAATTGTTGTTCTGGACAGGAGGTGGAACGATGCCCTGTCTCTGTTGATGGTTGCGTGGTGCATCACCATCACCAATGTTCCGTGGTATACCAACTCCTTGATTATCTGGATCTTGTGGTTCCATGGCTACTGGATTATGCGGTTCACAGTTGTCTCTGGCTCTGCCTTCTCTTAACTCACGAGCTAACCGATCGATGTTGTCTTTATAGCTAATGAGGTTGCTGGAGCCTTTAGATCGAGTTTGCATGCAGAGTGGTCAGACTCGATGTGGCAGTCTCGACGTGAGGTCGAGATGGTACCTGGAGTACAAAAACAAGCAGATGAAATGAAGAGTTAGTAACCAAGGTAAAGAAAGAACTTGATCTTAAACGTTTCTGAAATCTTAAATGGAACAATGCAACACAAGACTGGCAACGGCGCCAAATTGATAATAAGATTTTCAATTTCTAACAAGTATCAATCCCTAATACACATGCCATTGTAGTATATTAGGTTATCAATCCAATCTCAGTGTGACTGCAAGCATTCAAGATATGAAACAGAAAGCAAATAAGTCAAGCCAATTATGAAAGGGTTTTGTGTGTTTCTATTGATCCTAAGCAACCAATTTAACATGCAAATACCGAATTTAAAAGCATAAAAAGAAAACTAAACAGCAAGTAACAAGAGCAAGAAGTAAACTAAAGACCAGAAACTATCATGCAAAAGCTTTGGAAAAGAAACTAACAATAACAATGCAGAGAAGCGCTCTAGGCCTAACAGGTCGAGATGGTCACAAAAGCTAACAGAAACGAGATTTAAACAATCAATAGAGATAAAAGGTCCTGAGGAATGGGGTAATCGATTATGGCAGTCTCCTTAGTCTACCTAGGTGGTTAACAAACTCAATCAAGCTATCCCTAGACAATAGATTCGAATACAAATCAATCCACTCTCGTGACAGAGATTCTCAAACTAAATCACTTTCATACTCAATTCTCATTGAAGAAATATAACCTAGCAGGCATTAAGATTCAATCTAATAGAGTCAATAAGCATTCTAAACATCCAATCTCTTGGGCTAGAGTATGCAAATCTCTGGAATAGTTGGTTCAGACATTTCATCAAACACCTTTTGGATGTGGAAATGTCTGAGATCAACTTCCAATTGATCAGAGAGGAAATAGCATTAAGATCTACTAAACCAGAAGGGAAATCAAGCAATTCTACACTTAACCACCTAAATATACTAAGGATTCCACACCTAATCTCTCCAATCCTCAAGAACCCTAATCCACTACTCAAGAACACTGAAGAACATCATGCATAAAAAACCAGAAAATATTTCAAACCCAGAAGTCATTGAAAAGCAAGTATGTTATAGATAAGAGACAGATCTACAACTTTGATGAAGAAAAGAAATGCAAAAACTCAAAGGATCAACAGGAAAAACGATTACAAAAACTAGGGTTTATGAGAGAACAAAGGAATATCTGCTGGGTAAAAGGAATATCCGCTGGACAATAGCATGTACCCCTATTTATAGGAAATACTAGGTTGCCCTAATTGGCTACAGGACAAAATAGCGAGTCGGTGGAGGCCAACTCGACGTGTCGTCGAGCCTGCCACGTCGAGACCATGTGATTCTCAAAGGTGGCGCCTTGATGTCCATCTCGACGTGTCGTCGAGCCTGCGTGGTCGAGTCTGCTCCCAGGCGGCTTCCTGGCGTCCTACTCGACGTGACGTCGAGCCATGACGTCGAGTCTGCTCATTGGTGATCTTGAACGACTTCATTCCTCTCCAACTCGATCCCAAGTCTAGCTCCAAGGTCGTGTTGGTTCCTCCTTGCTTCATTAAGTCCCAAATAAGCTCCAAAGTACCTGAAACTCATCCAATATGCAACATGCTACGCCATGCAATGCAAATCGTACTAAGTGATGAAAATCTTATGAAAAAGGACTATTGATGCAATGAAACAGAGAGGAAACTAAGCTAAATGCATAAGAAATGTGTGCTAAAAAGAGGTAAAATACAGAGATATCACATAATAAGCTTTTTTAAGGTTCTTGGAGTCCAATATGACAAGATTGGTGTGTATGACTGAGTATAAGAAAGAGAAATGCAACCCGGATCCTTGCTGTTAAAGTAGCGTAGAATGCAAAACAGAAAAACTCATAGGGACTTCGTCCTCTTTAACAAAACTTGGGGAAGCGATAATAAGCTTGTGTATGGTTTTTGGAGTCCAATATGACAAGATTGGTGTGTATGACTGAGTATAAGAAAGAGAAATGCAACCCGGATTCTGGCTTCTAAGGAAGAGTAGATGCAACAAAAAAAACTCATAGGGACTTCGTCCTCACTTACAAAACTTGTGGAAAACATAATAAGCTTGTGTATGGTTTTTGGAGTCGTCCTATATGACAAGATTGGTGTGTATGACTGAGTATCAGAAAGAGAAATGCAACCCGGATCCTGGTTGCTAAAGTAGCGTAGATGAAAAACAAAAAAACTCATAGGGACTTCGTCCTCACTTACAAAACTTGTGGAAGCCTTAATAAACTTATGTAAGGTGCATGGAGTCCAATATGACAAGATTGGTGTGTATGACTTAGTATAAGAAAGAGAAATGCAACCCGGATCCTGGTTGCTAAAGTAGAGTAGATGCAAAACAAAAAAACTCATAGGGACTTCGTCCTCCCTTACAAAACTTGGAGAAGCCATAATAAGCTTGTGTAGGGTTTTTGGAGTACAATATGACAAGATTGGTGTGTATGACTGAGTATAAGAAAGAGAAATGCAACCCGGATCCTGGTTATTAAAGTAGCGTAGATGCAAAACAAAAAAACTCATAGGGACTTCGTCCTCACTTACAAAACTTGTGGATGCCATAATAAGCTTGTGTAAGGTTCTTGGAGTCCAATGTGATAAGATTGCTGTGTATGACTGAGTATAAGAAAGAGAAATGCAACCCGGATCCTGGTTGCTAAAGTAGAGTAGATGCAAAACAAAAAAAACTCATAGGGACTTCGTCCTCCCTTACAAAACTTGGAGAAGCCATAATAAGCTTGTGTAGGGTTTTTGGAGTGCAATATGACAAGATTGGTGTGTATGACTGAGTATAAGAAAGAGAAATGCAACCCGGATCCTGGTTATTAAAGTAGCGTAGATGCAAAACAAAA